TAAATAATAAATTAAATTTAAATAATAAATTAAATTTAAATAATAAATTAAATTAAAATAATAAATTAAATTAAAATAAATTAAATTAAAATAAATTAAATTAAAATAATAAATTAAATTTAAATAATAAATTAAATTTAAATAATAAATTAAATTAAAATAATTATTAAATTAAAATAATTATTAAATTAAAATAATTATTAAATTAAAATAATAAAAACTAAATTTAAATAGTATATTAACTTAAAATAATTGTTTGATAACATATTCTTATAACAATTAACACTAGAAATTTTAAATAACACAATCTTTAAGACTCTATAACGTTAATACTCTAGAACGTTACTTTGCATAGTCAACGTATTTTTTGAACAAATAGAATTAGTTTGTTTGTAGATTTGGTGGGTTTTTAGTGTTCACGAATATTCTTTATTCCACACCAAGATGTTGTGAGAATATTTAATTTTTTTTGTATGTTTCCATATATGTCAACAACAAACAAACTTTTTTCAAATTCATAAATTTGAATGTTCTGAATGTATGTTTCCATGTATGTCTGCAAAACAAAATTTTTAAAATACAATGTTCTCAAAACATCTAATAAATGTGGCTAAGTTGTCACAACTAAATATTATTTTTGTGGTCAGTAATCGCTTCCTAACCAAGCCTGTTATATACTAAAATTTATACATCTAATAAAATAATAATACACACACCACTCTTGTCAAGTAGAAATTCTTTTTTTAGTTAAACACAAAAAATTTTAAAGAGCAAATTGATATTACGATTAGAAAAAACTTAAAAACTTAAAAGACTTGTTTTATTTAGAGTCAGGCTTGGTCGGAAAGCGGGTATTTTCGTGGTCAATTATTGCGATAAATAATTGACCACAAAAATAATATTTAGTTGGGAAAAACCAGCCAGATTTTTTAGTCGTTTTGAGAACATTTAAGTTTATGTATGTTTCCTTGATTGTCCGCAAAATAATAATTAATAACATAATTTTAGGTCAAAACTTTTTTCTAATGAGCAAATCCAGGTTTTACGTTTTTAATAAAATTCTGACCCGAATATAATAATTGCTTTAATATCAAATTCGTTTTTAATAGTGATAAGTTAAATCAAATTTTGATATAATATATTAAAAATAATTATTTAATATAATATACATAATAATTATCTATCGCAAATTATTATAAGAAAATGAGTATAAACGGTTTAAATAAATTTAAATAATTTGCGTCTTGATTTCAAAAAAAACGCGAAACCTGGATTTGCTCATTGGAAAAAAGTATAGACCATTATTTTATCGTAAATTTAAAAAAATTTTGTATTACAGACTTACATGGAAACATACATAAACTCGAATGTTCTCAAAAATCTTTGTGCAGAAAAATAAAAAAAGAATATTCGCAAATACAAAAAACCGTCCAAATCTACGAACAACTAATTTTATTGGTTCAAAAAATACTAAGCAAAATTTCTAGAGTATTCAAAAAATAATAACCGAATACTCTAAAGTATTCTTTTGAAATATTTATATAAAAATTGTATTATTCGAGTTTTGTTATATTTTTGTTGAGATTTCTAGCATAATTTGTATAATATGTACTCACGAGTCCTTAATATAAGGGGAGGGGTTTATTAACTAATTTTTGTAAAATTTTCCTACTCACCCTAAGCTTGTTAAGACCCCTGTTTAATAATTTTTACTTGTTATGAACAAAAAATATCTCATAATAAAAAAAATATTTAAGTGAAAATCAGCTTTAAGAATTAAAAAATATATACTAGTAAACGATAAATATTGAAACTTTCAGTGTAAATTCCACCCCTTCCCCTTCCTGTTTATAATTCCCGTTTATTAGAAGTATAAAACAGTAATTAAAAAAACTCTTTTATCTATAAATAAATCATCTAGCGTTAGTTTTATTGGTTGAATCTTGTTGGACTTTTCAAGACCGGGGGCTGCATTATTTTGGTGGTCTTTTTTATGTGCCACAGCGTAAAAATGCCTAATTAAAAAAATACCGAAAAGTCCTCTGAACTATTTCGCCGCCCATAACATTGTGAGTCCTGGGGCTATAGCCCTTCTACCCCCCTCACCTCCTCAATCCAGCACTGGAAATAAGACATAAGTATATATATATATATATATATATATATATATATATATATATATATATATATATATTATATATATATATATATATATATATATATATATATATATATATATATACTCTTTGATAAATCAAAGAACATTTGTTTTCTTATTAAACAATCATTAATAGTAAGTTGTTACTTTATATAAAAAATGTCACTTATTTTTATAAAAAAATTATAAAAGAGCAACATTTCAAAAATATTTGCTCTAATTGTACTTATTTTGCTTAGAGGGATCCCCAACTGCTGAGACAAGTTGTGTTTATATTAAACTGCTGAGACAAGTTGTGTTTATATTAAACTGCTGAGACAAGTTGTGTTTATATTAAACTGCTGAGACAAGTTGTGTTTATATTAAACTGCTGAGACAAGTTGTGTTTATATTAAACTGCTGAGACAAGTTGTGTTTATATTAAACTGCTGAGACAAGTTGTGTTTATATTAAAGAAAATGTTTAAAAAAAACATTTGAGCTAAATATTTTTGATTGAAACTAAATAATCAATGCATACCAACAAAATTAAAATTATCGTTTTAGTTGAAGCTCGCCTTCTCCATTTTTTTTGGTTCTTGGGGTCTGTATAATGTTAGCTGCAGACTTGACAATTTATTCCATGCATGTTAATTCATAACAGTTTCGGTATATGATGTCATCACAATATCTTTTCAAGATAGCGTTTTTTTGTTGTTATTTTTTTTTAAAGATATAAGAACTTTTTACTCTACTACAATCAGAAAATCAAATATTTGTATAATTTATTACTAAATCACAAAAAATATTTGTGATTTATTAAAAAATTATATATATAAATTTTATTTATAACTTTTTTTAACTTGCTTTATTATTACTTTGTTTTAATAGCAAGCCAAAATCATGACACAATTATACATATTTTGTGATTATTAGAGTTTGCAGGCAGAGAAAAAATAAAGGTAGTATGATGCGGTTTCTCGCTTTATATGGTTTAATAGAGTTGTTTGTTTTATGTTTAATTTACATTTAGTTATGGTTCAACTCTTTCACTACTGCAAGCCACTGGTAGCAGCTTTCGAGTATGCTTTACAATTTATCTTTTTTTTGTACATAAATTTCCATTCTAGACACATAGAATTTGTTTGTTCTAAAGGTTTAATAAATTCTCTATATTATCAAGAAAAAATAAGAGCTTTATTGTGTAATTATAAAAAAGTTATCACAAAGTTAAGAAATCTTGAATAATCCTTCTAAAAAAAAACTTTAAATTTAGTAACAGCGTAAACACTGTAAAACTTAACTTGTAGAAAGGTTAAGTATTTACTTAAGTAATTACCAAATTATTTTGAAGAAAAAATTTATTTTTATTCATTAAATGAGGTTTGTTTCGAACTTAATATTTTAATTAGTTACTACTTATAAAAAGCTAGTTACTTCTTATAAAAACAATAGTTTTAAGCACTTTGCATTTCTTATTATTTAATGATGCGTGTTAAAAACTATTATTATCGAATTTTAAATAATTGTCAATGTGATGCTATTCAAATGTTATTCAAAAAAATGCGCAGTTGCTACAAAAAGATTTTTGTTCAGCTGGTAGCGAACAACTTAATGGGATTCTTTGTTTTTATATTTATATTATAACTATTTTTTGTATATTTTAGTATAAATATTTGTTTTAACTTTTTAGTTTGATTTGAACGGTTATTAGTAAAATAATTTGTTTAATATTTATTTTCTACTTAGTTCAGTTTATATGTTTTATTCACTCGTTTTTTATTCAGTTTAAACTTTAAATTAACTTATACGCTTTAGTAAAATTATTCTTTTAGTATCTAGTTTATATTTAAATATGTTTAAACCAGTACGTTTACTGTAAATATTCGTTATATATTAAATTTTTATTTTTATAAATTTAATTCTTAATTTCATCATAAACATTTTTGGGGGATTTAGTAAAAAGCTATACAATTAGCATGATTTGGTGATTGTGGCATAAAAAAAAAATATGATATTTTGAAAGGAAAAATTTATACGATGACATCATATAACAAAACTGTTATGAATTAAACACGCATGGTATAAATTATCAAGTCTGCAGATTGCGGCTAACATTATACGGACTCCGAGAACCAAAAAAAAATGGAGACGGCGAGCTTCGACTAAAACGTGATTTTTAAACTCAATGGTGTGCATTCATTATATAGTTTTATTCAAAAAAATTAGGCCCAAATGTTTTTTTTAAGCATTTTTTTTAATATGAACACAAATTGTCTCGACAATTGGGGATCCCTTTAAAGTTTTTTGTGATAAAAGCTATTTTTCTTATTTTAACTGTCTCTCATCGGTCCAGTTAATCTTAATGCGCTTTTTTGAAATGTTTTTGAAATGTTCAAAACGACTAAAAAATCTGGTTGGTTTTTTGCAACTAAATATTATTTCCGTGGTTAATTAACAAGTGTAATCGCACCCACTTGCCAACCAAGCCTGTAGAGTACCTCCCAAAACCTTTGATCAACTGTGCTATCATCACTGATGTTATACTAAAACAGAGATATAAAGAACTTTATGTATCAATCGAGGTTTTATTGTTTTTTTTACCACATTCACCTATTCGCTCAACATTCACCCATTCACAGACCATTCACCCTTTCACTTGGCATTCAGAGTTTTTTTTAATTGATACTACAGTTTCACCTCATCAATTCCAAAACAAGAACCTTGAAATAAAAAGTTACTATATGGATAAACAAATTGAGCGTAGTACTACGTAGGGACATGGTATTTTACTCATTCTCAGCACCAGTACCACCATTACTGCAAGTTTGGGTAGGCAGTATGATTAACTAAAATTAAAATACCTCCATAACATTTTCATTAATAAGCCATGGCTGATGAGCAAGTATTACATTTAACTTATTGAGATTTTTCAATTTTTGTGGCACATTAGATAATCCATTAAGCCAACTTGGATCACCATGATTCATTAAAAACATCTGCTCGCATCCTTCAATTAATGATGAACATTGATGTCGAGATGCACCCTAAATAAGTTAAGAAAAATTGTAAAGATACATTTAAAAAACTAATAATTTTGGTAACAAACAACAAAATTTTACTACAAATATCTTATTGAAAATAAAATTTTAATAAAACTAAATGATAATGATAAATAATTTAATTAAAATAATGATAAATAATAAACTAAACAATAAATTATTTATAAATATTAAGTTGCGACAACATATTTTAATAAGATAAACACTTTTGTTTAAACGATCTTAATATCTAAATAATCTTAATGGCTCATAATAAAAAAATTTCACTTTCACAGGAAACTATTTATACTTTATAACATAGAAATTTAAATATATAGTTTATCATTTATAATAAATATTAACATTGATAAGAATAAAGGAGTAAAGAATAAAAACTTAAGTAAATTGTATTTAATGGTCACATGTCATAACAAATTGTCATAAAACACCAAGTATTATATATCAAATACAAAAAAAAGCTTTATTTAAAAAGTTAACATTAGTTAGCTAGCAGGATTTGCCCGAAATATTTAATCTTAATGCTACAACATTGACATCAACAACATTGACATCAACAACTGCAACAACATATTACCAACAATCCTCCAGAAAACAGATGCCTGTTTACTAATGCTAGAAACAATTGTAAATAGGCTTTGTCTGCTAAAGCCCCGTATTCTCAGGTCACAAAACCTTGTATTTTATCTTAAAAATAGGCTCCCAAGACATCTGGAGAATCTAGCAGACAAACAGGTTGATCCATTGCTTGAAGTTCGTATCACTATAGCTTCTGTATCTAAAGTGATTTCCTGCTTAGACTCTTCTGAAGTTTGTGGTCCAGACAACATACCTGTTACAGTCTTGCAGAAGTGTTTTCCGGAGCTGTTGTCTATATTTTCAAAACAAGTACATATCAGAGTCTTACTTTCCATATAAATATGTTATTCTTTTCAAAAATTCTGAAGAGTAATATGACTTGTATAACTAGTGTCCCATGTTTACAATACAAAAACGTATTGTAAACATAGTAGGATCTGCTCTTACAGCCAACCTTCAACCATTGTCAGAGCTTCATAATGTTGCTTTTCTTTCTATTTTCTAAAAATACTCTAATGGGTGCTGCTCTAAAGAGCTAGCAACTCTTAGGCCATCTACTAAAATTAATTATTATGTTACTTGTCATTCAATAAAGTCTCATCTTTTTACTGTTGTTATTGGTGACTTTGATGCTTATAAAACTGAATGACTTGGCACTAAAGCCACTGATCTTTCTGGCACTATTGCCTATAACTTCTGCATTTCTTAGTCTCTTATTCTAATAAACTTCTCTGATAGTTAATAGTGACTTGTTTTTCTGACAATTTTAAGCCTTGTCTTTGATAAAGGTTAGGGTTAAAAACCGCATGCATCTCCTTAGGGAAGTTAAACCTTCCAAGGAGATGCATGCGGCTTTTCATCTCGTATGTCCACACATAAATTTTTTATTTTAGACAACTTGGTCTCGGCTGTTTGCAAGTTTTATTATATTAAGCGCTTCAATACTTTGCAGAAAAAAGAAAGTTTCAAATAGAATATATAAACATAAGAGTTAGCTAAAACCTATTAAAAAAGGTGTTGGACAGGTGTCCAGTATAAAAGTCCAAAATTAAAGGAAAGATTTATTATTAAATGTTTAAATATATTTCACCAATAACATAGAAGACCAAAAGGGGGTAAGTAGAACTAAGCGCACTGCAAATGTTAAAAAGCAACAAGGTATCCAAAATTAAAAAGCGCTAAGAGTGGGGATAAAAAACGTACAGGAATAGAAAGGTAGTATGAAACAATTAAGGCTGGGTGAAAAATGTGTAGACAGTATGACATAATTGAAGATTTAAAATTATGTAAACATGTGTGTGCACCTTACCTAGAAAATACACTGAAGGACTTGAATGGTATAAGAAATCTGAATATGAAGAGATGTTTATCATTCAAAAACATACAACAGAAAGATTTAAAAAATAAAATAAAAGGAAAATAATTCTTTTTAAAATTGACTTTTTTGCTCTGCCTTATCCAATTTCATTACAGAAAAAAACAACCACCTTACTGAAACAAAAGAATAACTCACTTCTGATTAAACAGCTATTTATTATCGCAAAAAAGCAACGAGTAGCCGTGGCACAGTGGTAGCGCACTTGCCTCAGAAACAAAAGATCCACGATTCAAACCCTACCTCTGGGCAAGTTTTGTGACATCCATTAGGAAGGAGACATGACTTTCCAATTAAATGCTCATCTGCAGTGCTCTGTGATAAGACTGTAAGGACTTCTAGGGGCACCTAAACAAAAAATTTTTTTAAAAATTGACGTGAAAAAGCAGTGTCTGATGTTAAGCTCCATTATTCTCAGTTCACTAAATCCTATATCTTATCTCAGAAGTTAGGCTCTAGAGACTTTTGGAAAATCTTTAACAGCGCAATTAACATGGGTAGGTCTAACATTCCTTCCCTCTTTTATGGGACTAAGGTAATCTTATTACCTCTCCCAAGGATAAGGCTGAACTATTTGCAAAGAACTTTTCTTCTAATTTGACTCTTGAATTATATGGATATTCTCTTCCTTCCATTCCAACTAAACAAGTAAATCCCATTGTTAGAATTCAAATCACTACAGCTTCCGTAGTTAAAGTCACATTTTGATTAAACTTTTCTACGGCTTATGGTCCAGACAACATTCCTGCCATTGCCTTACAAAACCGTTCTCCAGAACTCTATTCAATTCTCTCTAAATTATTGAACAAGTGCTTGTCTGAATCTTATTTTCTTGCCTGCTGGAAAATAGCATCATAAGCTTGCTTCATAAAGTGTATCTGGGAAAGTTTTCAAGATTATCAAACTGTTTTTTTCTAACCGCTGTATCAAAGTTATCCTAAAGACCAACACTCTTTTTTATTTAAGACCAACACTCTTTTTTATTTAAGACCAACACTCTTTTTTATTTAAGACCAACACTCTTTTTTGTTTAAGACCAACACTCTTTTTTATTTAAGACCAACACTCTTTTTTATTTAAGACCAACACTCTTTTTTATTTAAGACCAACACTCTTTTTTATTTCCAGTAATTTCTGGGGTATCTCAAGTTTCTATCCTTGGTCCTGTTTTGACCAATCTACATTTATGATCTTTCTGACAACCTTTCATTTAAAGTAGCTCTTTTTGCTGATGACTCAACTTAATAATCCTGTCTAGACAAAAAGTCTTTTTGATCGCTTAGAACAGCCAGCCGATCTTGAATCTAATATCACTTCTGTAACAGATTGGGGCTCACAGAGGCTTAAAATTTTAACTCAAACAAATCCCAGTTATTTACTGAAAAAACTTCAGCTTTCTGAATCAATGACTGAATTAAATATAGCAGAAAAAAGATCAAGGATTTTTAGAGATTTCTTAATAATGAAAAGTCATTTAGACCAAAATCTGCCAAAGAGTGTTCCTTTAAAATGGCACGCACCAAAAGGCAAGAAAATTATGAAGAAACACAGGTTTATGATCGAAACTTAGTAAGCAAGAATCAGAGTTCAAAAAGTCCAGTTCTTTATTCTTTAAAAACATTTTAGCTTTACATTTATAATTTAATTTTGTGAACAACCATAACTCATTCTTGCTTGACTTTTCATTCGGCAAAGTCTTATTCTTTTACTGTATCTGTCCATGCATGCTCTAAAAACTTTAATGCATCTATTTTTTTTTCCTGCACTTCAAGCCCTTGAAACTCTCTCCTATCTTTATGTCTTCTGTCAACTTTTCTGTCTCTTTAGTTTTTAACATTATTTTTTTCTTCTTGTAACTCTAAACTTGATATTGGTTGCTTTCACCTTTGTTGGGAGAGAATCAGAATTAAAAAAATAAAAAAAAGAGATAGTAGGAAAAATTTGACACAGATGATTTTGACCTTCTGATAAGCCATATTTTGGGTAATCATCTTTGATCGACAACAATGTTATTAAGACCATGCTGGAGCAAGATACTTTAACAAATTTTTTAAAAAAAATTAAAAGAAAAAGATATCAAACAAGCAATTTTGTTTATGTCTAACTGAAAGTTATATATTATATATATATATATATATATATATATATATATATATATATATATATATATATATATATATATATATATATATATATATATATATATATATATATCAGGCTTTCCCAGGAAAGGCGTGCGGTCGCACGCCTTGTTTGTCCACGCATAGAATAAATTTTTCAGAAAATGTGACCGCGGCAATATTTTGTAAGAAAGCGGAAATTATCCACAGAGAATAAAAAATAATATTAAAAAATGAAACGAAGTCTAAACGAAGTATAAAATTGAAATTGGATGTAAGAAAAATATTTTGATAATAAAAAAAAATTAAAAAAAAAAAAATTCTTGTAACAAAAAAAAAAAAGTCTTGAACACTTTTTTCAAAATTTTTATACTGTTATTTTCTTTTATTAGGGTTGCTATTTTCAGCTACGAAATTTGATACAAGTCAAGGAAAAGACGACGATAAGTCATAAAGTTTTCACGAAAATAAAAAGACTTGATACGTAATTTATTCACAAACATTATCAGACAATGTATTAAAAAACTTATTCATTATTTACGCTAGACAAATTTGGTTAAACTTTTTCATTTAATTTAGTTTTTACGAAGGTTTATGCAAAGGCAATGACTTTATTCCCCAATACATAGACAAGAAAATAAATTGCTGTTTTAATTATTAAATATATTATTTAAGATTTTAAAGATAACAAAATTTTAATGTGAAAAAAGTTCTTTCTCGACTTATTCTAAACTGATTATACTGAGTCAATGCTCGCCTTTTATTACGTTGAAGTTATTCAATTGCATAATTTTGTAATTACGAAAGAAGTTAAAAAAATAGTTGCATTGCTTCTGTTGTCATTGTTACGAAAACAATTCCTTCGGGACATTATTATATATTAACACTCGTTCACAATGTCAATTAATGATTGCAAAATAAGCAACTCAATCGTTTGACAATAAAATTTTCTTTCATTAAAAAAAAAAAACAACATATTTTACTAATAAATAGCAATTGTTTTTGTGTTTTCTTGCGTATCAATACATTCAAACATTAAAATCAATACATTTAAGCATTTAAAAATATTTACGAAACATTTAAAAATTGTTTATAGTTCTATCGTGAATATTAAAGTATTACTGACTGATGAAAGTCATAAACAAATTTTACATTAAAAGGTCCTTTTTATTTTCTTTAAACATTATTCTTTTTCTTTTTGATTTGATTTTTCTTATTGATTTGATTTTTCATAGCTTAAATAACTACCACCCGAAAAAAATAAATAAATAAAATAAAGGTAAATTTTTTTTTAATAATATACATTAATTTTTTAATTTTAAAGCACAAACAGATTTCTGTTATTTACTTTAAGATTGCTTGCATTTTTGCGGTATTTTGTTTTGGCGCGAATTCTTAAAACGCATAATAATAAAACGTGGTCAGTTAGTCAGAAAAATTTATTCTATGCGTGGACAAACAAGGCGTGCGACCGCACGCCTTTCCTGGGAAAGCCTGATATATATATATATATATAATATATAATATATAATATATAATATATATATATATATATATATATATATATATATATATATATATATATATATATATATATATATATAATATTATATATATATATATATATATATATATATATATATATATATATATATAATATATATATATATATATATATATATATATATATATATAATATATATATATATATATATATATATATATAATATATAATATATAATATATATATATATATATATAATATATAATATATAATATATAATATATATATATATATATATAATATATATAATATATATATATATATATATATATATAATATATAATATATATATATATATAATATATAATATATAATATATAATATATATATATATATATATATATATATATATATATATATATATATATATATATATATATATATATATATATATATATATATATATATATATATATATATATATATATATATATATATATATATATATATATATATATATATATATATATATATATATATATATATATATATATATATATATATATATATATACTTATACTTGCTTCATACTTAATTTTTTATTTTTAGTTGATTGTAAAAAATTAAATTTCAAAAACTTATACTTTTTTAGAACAAATTTTATTTTAATCTTTTGTTTAGTTTTGCCTATAAAATTTTCAAATATAATTTTTTTTTTTTGATTTGACTTCATAAATTTAAGAATACTTAAGAATACTTCATCAATTTAAGAATATTTAATAATAAATTAATCTGTTAACAGGTTAAATTTTAATCAATAATTTAAAAAGGCACATTTTTTTCAAGGATTAGAACCCCAACCTAAATTCGGAGTTGTAGAATCCTGGGGTTCTGGAATCACAAAAATAAGGGCTCTGAAACCCTTATTTCAAAACAGGGTTCAAAAACCTTGGGGTTTTAGAACTCCAGAACCCTAATTTCAGAACTTGGTTTCTGAAATAAGGGTTTTGGAACCCTTTGAGTATAAAAGGGTTCGAAATCCTTATGAGTTCTAGAGCACCTCTTAATCAGGTTTCCAAACCCCAATTATACCGTAGCGTGATAGCAGGAAAAAAAATAATTTTATAATTGATTTAAACAGCAAATTTAGAAACAAAAACATTTCAGAGTTAAATAAAATCTTAATGTAGTTTTTATTTTTTTTAAACCGTACCTGGTTTTAAAAAATGGTTTAAACCCCCTTGGTTTCGGGAACACTGAAATAGTGGGGTTTTACATAAGTGTCCAAGAACCCTTTGAAAAAAAAAGGCTTTTGAGAAAATAACAGGGGTTCTGGAACCCGCATGGTTCCAGAACTCCACAATTTGGGGTTCTGAGAAAGGAGTTCCAGAACCCTTATGTTTAAAAAGGGGTTCTAGAACCTTTTTGGGTTCCAAATTCTAGATCCCCTCAATTTTGGGGTTCTGAGGGGTAATGCGTTCAGAATCACTTTGGAATTCTAATACCTGATTTTTTCCTGGAAACTCTTCCTTAACTTAAAAAAACAATGCAGGCATTGTTTCAAAGCGTTAAGCTGCCAGCAATTTACATAAACGTAAAGCAATTTACATACCCCTTGAGCAATTTCCATTAAGCAAATTATTCTACAGGTAAGATAAAAGAAGTAATTAATTTTATGAAAGACCACCCTAATTTTCGAATGATGATTATTTAAAATTGAATGATAATTATGTCAGATTATGAATGATAACAATGTTAGATTATCTGGCTTAGATATAAGTGTTATTTACTAATGACTCAAACAAAATTAAAAACTATGAAAACCTAATCTCTATAAAACCAATTATTTTATCAAAATATTTAGAAAACAAAATTGTTTATAGTTAACAACAAACTTTTTTTGTATACAAAGTTTTAAACAAAACTTTAAAAAAAAACCATAAAAGAAACATAATTTTTTTTTTTTTTGTTTATCTTGTGAGCATAAGAATAGTCATAAAGCTTTTGATTGCAATTTTAAAAAATTTATCGAAATTTCTATTTAATAATAAAAAATAAATTATTAATAACAAAAAAAAAGTTAAATTTTATTTTATCTTTATTTTATATTATGATATTTTATTTTTATTTTGCTTTTATTTTATTGTAATGATTGATTTTTGAAGCTTGAAGCAAATATATAATATTGTAATTTAATTATAATAAAAAATATATGATATAATTTAAAACTAATTTAATAAAAATATATCATTTTATTCTGATAAAAAATATATACTCCCTCTATTTTAAAATACTGTTCCAGTTTGCATTCAATGTAAAGAACTATTGAAAATAAATTATGTTTTTAATAAAAACATTTTTTATATGAAATTTAGATGTTTTTTTATAATATTATAAACAATTCATGGCAATAATATTATCTTTTACCACCATACCGTTAATTTCTAAAAAGGATGTTTTTTTTTATGAAAGATTTTGTTTCAAAATACTGCTCTGATTTGTTAAAAATTAATTACAAACTTAAAAACTTAATAACATTGTAACATTTTTAGAGGAAAAAATTATATATAGCAATAGGTTTTGAAAAACTCTTATTTTGTAATTAATTATTCAATAGAAGTTAAAACCATTTAGTTCAAAAACTTCATGCTTAATAGATGACTTTATTGTTTTTAAATCTGTAATAAATAAAATTAGGAGTTTAATTGCTAGCGCTCTTATTGCATATACTGCAATAACAATAAACTTAGAAACAACATTTTAGTTTAAAAAGATTTCAAATGTGTTTTGAACATTAAAAAATTAATAAAAGAGATACGCATGAACTTAAAAACGAGCAAGCTAGAGTGATTTACAATGAATTATTATCTCAAAGCATTAGCGGTAAACTAAAAAAAGGCTTACTTTAAAACACTGTTGAAAAATTCAATGTGTGCAATAATGCAATCAGTAACCTTTGTGGACAAGAAATCTTACTAATTTCTCTTTTTGTTGAACTAAGTGTTGTAAGAAAGCCCTTCAAATTTTTACACTAATAAATAATTTGGATTTTTGATTTACTTTATTATATTATCATATTTAAATATGCGTAGACAAAGAGATATACAAAAATAAGATAAATATCCTAGATTTGGGTTATTTTGTGTTATATACCACAATAACTCAAATCTTAACTAATAAATAAAATACCACAAAAAATGTAATTCGTAAAAAAAAAAATCATTTTGCAAAAATCTAGAGGGGGCACAAGGTCCCCTTAATATTTGTCTGCAATGGTAGTTTATTATCATGTTTCTTATCAAACATTTATCACAAAATGTTAAAAAGACAAATAAAAAAATGAGTTTTAAATTCAAATATAAAAAATAAAACTAGCTACCATAATCCCTATAAAATAACGCCAATCAAGAGGCAGTGGTCCATCATAATTCATTAGATGGGTTTCAAATTGAAAAAAACAAGTCAAATAATCTGTATGGTAAGCAAGGAGCTGTTTAACATGTGAAATTCTCCCAGTTACAATGTAGGCATCAATAAAAAGATTCTTGATTTTCTCATCATTTGTGTTAGTTGGCACACACTAAAAAGTTTAAATACAATAATAACTACAAAAGTCATGTTCTATTACATTTCATGTTTTTGTGTTAAAAAAATAAAAAACAATAACAAAATAAAGTTGATCATATTTATTACATTTGACGACATTTGTCAACATTAAAAAGACATTTGACATGAATCTGAAAATCGTTATATTTAAAAATTATTCATAATAAAAATAATAACTGTTTTACAACATAACAACATTAATTATAATAACATTAGAAATAGAATGGAATCAGGAGTAAGAAAATAGCAATCATGATAAAGAGAACCAATCTTAGCAAATTAACTTAATTATTAATAATTAACTTAACAATTGATTGTTTATAAGGCTTCCATGAGAGATTAATAGTGAACAATAATCCAGGGATATGCACAGAAAAGTACAAGTAAGAGGATTGCCATTCATCAATATAGGAATATCGACAGTTTGGTGATATTTGTTTGCATTAAGTAACTAAGTTTTGTTGGAGCTAAAATTCACAAGCCACAGCAAACACTAATCTGTAACAGAATTGAAATCAGATTCAAGTAGGGTTTGGACTGTTGTAATTGTAATGAACACAATAACAGAAACAATAAGTATTGTTATTGTATTAACTTTTTTAGAAACAATAACAATACTTGTGATTTACAATTATTTTAATACTCTAATAACAGTAAATATTGTATTGCAATTCATCTTCATAATAAAATAACCATATCTGGAAAAAAAATATATTGTAATGACCCACTACAACAACAATAATTATTGTATTGTAATTCATCTTTATAATACAATATTATTTATTGTTATTGTAATAAAAAAAATTATTGTAATGTCAAAATCTAACTGATTGATTGATATTTATTAGAACAAAGTATAAATACATGTTTAAAGGACACGAAGGCCCATACAAAGATGGACACTAACAATGTGCTCAAAGAAATTTAAAAATATCGCTACAAAAAAAAAAAAAAACTATAAAGAAACAAATAGTTGTTCCTTTTACAATAGATATTTGTTAAAGTCGAAAGATTCCATTTTATTTTTGAATGTTAAAATGTTATTTGCATTTACAGCCTCCGAGGTCATATTGTTCCACATGTCAATAACTCAGTAAGAAAAGCTATATTTTCTTAAATCCAAGCGACAAGATTGTTTGCTTAGTTTATAATTATGACCCTGGGTGTGGCTGTTATTGTCAATCGCAAAGAACATAGATTGATCAGTACAGACAAGTTTACGAAAAATTTAAAATGTCATTTTAAAGGCGCCGAACTTTGATACCAAGCAACTGTAGTCTATTATGATAGGAAAGATTTTTAAAGCTCCTTATTTCTTTTGTAAATTTTCGTTGGACACTTTCAACTGATTTAATCAATTCAATTTGGTGTGGCGACCATACTGGAGAACAATATTCTAAAATTGGTCGTATATAGTTAGTGAAAGCTCTAACTAGGATACAAGGGTCACGTGTTTTAAAACATTTCAAAATTAAGTATGCTCTAGAGTTAGCTTGATGGATGACGTTAAAAATATGTTTTTTATAATTAAGGTTACAGTCCAATGTTACTCCTAGATCTTTTGGATTTAAAGGCCGAGCCAAAGAATATTCACTTTATTTATAGTTAACCATTATACCTTTGCATATTGAGGGAGGTGCTATTCTAAGTGCAAAACGCTTACTACAAGCAATTGTTAGTTGTCAAGTTTCTGCCCATCATACAAGTCTATTTAAAGCAACAACTAAATCTTGGCTTAGATCCATGTCACGGTGCGAACTATATAACTTTATATCATCCGCGTAAAATCCCCACCACGTCCCTGGTAGTACCGCGCTCAACTTGTTTCTCCCTGCAGCGGCCTTGTTTGTCAAGGTTCGTTTTTCAGAGTTATAGAGTTGAGAGAGGGTTATAACCACTATTAAGTAGCCTCTTCGTCTGTAGTGGCCTTCTCGGCCTTGAGGAGGTGAGTAACAAAAAAAAAATTTAAAAAAATTTTACACAACAGTCCAGATTATTAGTTATAGCAGTTAAATCATTAACATATAATAAAAACAATGTGGGACCTACACACTACCCTGTGGAACTCCACTAACAATGCGTATAGAGTTTGATATAGAATTACCGACCTTGACTTGTTGATATCTATCGGTGAGAAAAGCGAAAATCGAGTTTAAAATATTACCTTTTATGTTATTGGATGCAAGTTTTAATAATAGTTTGGTATGCCAGACAGAGTCAAATGCTTTTTGGAAATCAATATAGACAACATCCGTTATTTGATAGTTATTGAGTGCAGTGTTCCAATTATTAGCAGATTCTAAGAGATTTGTACTGGTTGAACGTTTGTTGAGGAAACCATGTTGACTAAGAGATATTAAATTATGATGACCTAGATACTTTATGACAAACACATTGATCATTCTTTCCATGACTCGACAGCAAGTGCATGTCAGTGAGATGGGTCTATAATTATTTGGATCCGCAGTAGCTCCTTTTTTAAAAACTGGAGATACAAAAGCTTGGCACCATTGTTTAGGTAAGAACTTGACTTAAAACTGGCATCAAATATAAATGAGAGTGGAATACACAATAGATGAGCTAATTTTTTCAGAAGTATGTTAGGTATGCCATCAGGACCATACGATGTGCTGGCTTTAATTTCCTTCAAAGATTTATACACTGCTTCTGGTTTCTCTAATAAATGTTTTAACAGGCCATTCTCCAAGATATGTGACCTTGAAATAGGATACAACTAATATATAATTATTGATTCTATTTCTATTCTATTTACTGAATATCACTTGTCCTTATTGCAAACATTATATAGCTTTATAAAAGTAAGCTACCATTTCTTCCACATAGTTATTTGCATTTACATTAGGCATTTATCCAATTGTTTCAAAACTTACTCAAGTAACACTTACTCTAATGTAACTTTGTCTTTTTTTTCCCTGAGGCTTTTATGGCTGTATGTGTTTCATAAAGTAACTGGCCTTTTGGATCAAGTTGCAAAGTTATACAATACTTTTGTTACATAAATCAAGAATAATATTTATTTGGTATTCTAAACTGCTTCATTTCTCAAAAATGACCCTCTACAAAATACACTGGTACGGTCTAATAGGTAATGAAAAATGTAGAAAATTTTTTTGCAAAACAAAAGTAGTTCACATTTTTAGACAATCTAATCTATAATTACCTAGGTCAATGGTTCTCTGATTCCATAACGCTGTAATTTTAATATCAGTTTATATATCAGTTTATTATGTTTATATTTCAATATCATTTCAATATCAGTTTAGATAAAATTATAAAAAAATCAAAAAATTCACTTCACAAAGTAAGTAATTATTAATACAAGCATATGATTAATTATATATTTGTATGATTTTGAATGAATATTATTAATGTTAATTCTAAATAAATTATTATTTAAACAGTTATATTATTGAACTCAAAATACATAAAATTTATATACGTAAATGGTTACTAGAAACAGGTGCCACAAGCACCCCTGAACTTAATATTTGTTAAGTATCGGCGCTCTTTTTTAATTTTAATTTTTTTTTATAACAATCGTGCCTTTTAAAAAGCATTTCAGTATATTATGCAATCAATTATTTTAAAATGACATTGTGTTTTTTATTTTATTAAAAATGATAATTATACGTTTATGAGAAAAATTAGATATTTGCGAGAGCTGTAAATAGCTCACATAAACCGTTTCAGGGGAGTGATGAACAAGCATGGCAAGCTATGCGAGCTGGTTCTCTTAATTCTTAAGACGAGCATTGTTTTTACTGCTTATAAAAGTTTTATATTTTCTTATTGTAATAGAATGCAGGTATTTTTAGAATTATTAAAGACAATTATTAAAATGACTGTGTTTTTTATATTAGTAAAAATGATATTTAAACATTTGCATGAAAAAATTATACTTTTGCAAGACCCCTAAATAGCTCCTGTAAACTATTTATGGGGAGTGTGGGCAAGAGCTAAAGCTCTGGCTTCTGCCAAGGCCTGTATACATACATACATACATATATACATATATATATATATATATATATATATATATATATATATATATATATATATATATATATATATATATATATATATATATATATACATATATATCTATATATATATATATATATATATATATATATATATATATATATATATATATATATATATATATATATATATATATATATATATATATATATATATATATATATATATATATATATATAAAGTAAAACACCATTGAGTTTTAAAAAAAGAACTTAAATTATAGGAAAGAAATAAAATAAAAAATATAATAACAAAAAACAAGAAAAAAATAACTTATTTTTAAAACAATCACTTACATCTGTTTCAGAAATAAACTTTGACGGACCATTATATTTACAACGTGGTATTCTTATTCCCTGACTCTGAAAAATAAAACTTTTTTTTACAAACATATTTTTATTTATTTGTTATATTCTAAAACATATATTCATTCTTTAGCATTTAAAGAGCAATAAATGTTGTAACTGACATTTTTCGAAACAGAAAAAATACGGTTTGAAAGGAAAAAAAAAATCCCAAACATCAGAAAATTTTGACACAAAATTTATGCTTATTATAAAAAAATTTCAGATTTCTGTTAATTTATGCAAGACATCTTGACTTATTAAGACAATCACCACAACTCTTTGCATATATATATATATATATATATATATATATATATATATATATATATATATATATATATATATATATATATATATATATACTAAATTTTAGGTTTTAATCAAATATAATAAACACCACAATAAACAACATACTAAGTTTAAAACACAAGAAAAATAAAATCAATTAATATCAATCGCAAAGCATTTAGGCTTTGGAAATGATGGAAATTGAAGATATGAGCTTATACTAAAAATGTAGCGCAAACTATGTATACTTTTTATCATACACTTTAATTTATAAAATTGTATCATTAAAATTTGTCATAAAAATTAATGAGCCTATGTTAAATATGACTTTATCATAAAAATGAATGAGCCTATGTTAATATAACTATATCATGTCACCTTGATAATACTTGAATTTTCCACTTTATGTTGAAATTTTTACTTTTTATTTTTATTTAAAAAAAAAAACTCACTCTGAGATTCTTTTCTGAATCTGATGTATTTAGTTAACAACACTTCCTTCAAATTAGGTATTTATACTCAATATTCTTACTTTTATTGCTAATATATTTAAACTAAATAACCAATATTGCGCCCAAGCATATGCTAAATTAAATCACATTAATTCATTATTAAATTAATGTGATTTAATTCAAGATTATAAATTTTTAAACAACTTTAATAGATTATTAATTTTAGTTTTGAAACAACAATTTTAACTAGATTATTATTTTTTTTAATTATTTTTTTATATATTTTTTTAGTAATATTTTTTTGTAATACTTTTAAGATTTTTTTGGTGTATTCTTTATTATATTATTGCCTATTTTAATATCCAACTGTAACAATTAATGCAATTTTAATTGCAAATAAATAAAATTTAAATTACCAAAGCTATATCGCCAGTTGAATACTCAAATACACTGACTTTTATAATTTATTCAACAAACAAATATATGAAATTTTGAAATTCATGGAATAAACAAATTGTGATTAAAATTAAAATATGACTTAAGTTACATTTTTTCTATATCAGTATAATAAGTTGTGTATAATAGTGTTACTCTTTAATAAATAAATAGAGGTATTTCTAAGTAACTTCTCGTTAAGAAAACAATGATACCTACTTCTAGTTTTTTCAATATACGACTAGATGATTCACGGACATCCTGAAAAGGACATTCTAACGACAATCTCAGCAGAACAGGCAAATATTTATCTCTGTCAATATGCACATTATTATTTTCAACATTAAAACCACTATTGTAGCCTAGACTATAATTGAAATAATCGTCTTCAGAGTTAAATAATTTCTCGAGCTCATCGAGAAATTGCTTTCTTGGTTCAGATACTTTAGTTTGCAAGGGCGAAAAGAAAAGCTGAATCTTGTAGTCATGCTGCATTCCTTGAATTCATTTATGCAATATAAATTTAGACCCTTGCATTGGGTTAACCCGGAACGTTTTTAAATTTGCTCGTCAGCTATTAAAAGTTTCCTGCATTCTAGCACTAATCTTTATTTGTGCTATCCTTGCAACCAAATGTAAGTGAATGTTTTCTAACACAATTGAACAGTTGCATAACCATTAACACTCCATCTCAGAGAATTACTCCACCTTCAAACAATAAACTTTTTATTACGCAATAACCGGCAGAATTTCCATTTCTCTCCTCTAAAGTTGCAGTTAAAACAAATAAACAATTAAAATATATAAATATTGACTCTTTTTCTTAAAAGGTTTACATTTTAAACTGTCTGATTTTCAACTTTAAACATTTGCCATAAGCTATTAAAAGGGCGGATCTAGATCGAATATAAAGTAGTTTATAGGAAAGTAGTTTCATAAAAATAAAGTTTAATGACTTTTACATAATTATTTTAATTAGAAAAGTAATTCTTTAAACTTAGAAATGACAACTTCAAAAAGATTATAAGCGAAGCAAACAGCATCATTCAATAGATTTAAAAAAATTCTGTAATTGGCAAAGTATTTTGACAAACCGTATTTACTAAATATGAAGTGAAAACAAACAAACAAAAAACACCCAAAATGTAAATACACATAATATGCATTATGACAAATGATACAATATTATGTATGCCTATAATAAATAGCGATTTAATAAAGATATTCGTTTATTATAAATATGTATTTAAAATAGGTAGATTATTGAATCGTATGGTTATTAGCTTAAATTACTCTAGCGTTTTATAAAGTAATTATGAAAATCTGTTATTCATTTTCAAAAAAACATTTGTTCCCAGCAAACATTGTTGTAGTGGATTTGCAGTGGATCTATATAGACATTTTGAGCAATTCATTGGAATTTTGCTCATCGATCACTTAATAAACCATTAGTGACATCCACTATAAGTGGCCAGCTGATAATTTTCTAACATATGATTTAGTAGCTAGTCATCAGCTAGCCACTTTTGGCGGCTGCTGATAATGTTCAACTAAGTAACCGATGAGCAAAACTACAGTGGACAGCTCAAAATGCTTATTATATATATAGTGAACAGCTCATGATGCTTATATAAATCCGCTAAAATTCCGCTATAGGATGTATGTTGGGTGAGTATGATCCAGAATCCAGGATTTTCTGGTTTTAGAGTGGCCTCTAAGGTATTTCTAAACTCCAAATTTTGGTATGTTCATACTAATTTCATAATAAGATGTTTCGCAGAAAATTGTACTAATTAGAACCAAAGAACATGACTACCCTATAACTAATTTTAGAAATTAAATTCATAAATTTAATTTCTAAAATTAAATTTATGAATCAGTAAAATTTTAGGTAACAAATTATAAATGATTATAACTCTTTGGCGTATGATTTTTTTGCAGAAATTTTAATTTAGGTTTTAATTTAAATCAACTATAATTTATAAACTTGTTTTAGAAAATAACAATTTATTTAATTTTAAGTAAAAACAAAGGGAGGGGGATCAGTGTTTTGGTAATCGTTTAAACTCGCGTGTATATACTAAATGCCTATCCATTGACAAATCCAGGAGGGGAGGGAGAGAATGGAAGTATGCATCCAGAACTCCTTTTTTCACTTTAAGGAGTATATATAAATATATATATATATATATATATATATATATATATATATATATATATATATATATATATATATATATATATATATATATATATATATATATATATATATATGTATATATATATGTATATATATATATATATATATATATATATATATATATATATATATATATATATATATATATATATATATATATATATGTATGTATATATATATGTATATATATATATATATATATATATATATATATATATATATATATATGTATATATATATGTATATATATATATATATATATATATATATATACATATATATATATATATACATATATATATATATATATATATATATATATATATATATATATATATATATATATATATATATATATATATATATATATATATATATATATATATATATATATACATAGGGTGGGTCATAAAATTTTTTTTTAGAGTTGCTAACCTGGCTATGGTCTAGAAAGTTGTTTTTTTATGTACTAATTTAGGAAAGTATTTACTTTTATGGATTGAACAATGTCTTCCACCCGCAACTATAATTACAAAAATTAGCAGGCCCTATGCGTGTGTGTGTGTTGAGAATGTTGCTTTAGTAGCAACATCCTCACCAAAAATCACTATGAAAGAAACATAAGTCTAATTTTAAAAACTCTAAGACCGCCCTTGGAATTGGTGAAGTTTATATATTATATGTATTTTAAAAAATAACATAAAAGTTAAAATTAAAAAGTGTATGCTATCATATATTAATATATAACAATTATTCAAGTTTTATTTTTAAAGTTTAAAAAATTACTTCTTTAAAGTTTAAAAAATTACTTCTTTAGATTTGAAAATAATAAACCATAATTTTTTTACACAGCAGTATAATAAAGTATGAAAGTTTAAAATGTTTTTTCAGATTTTATTCTTGGAAAATAAGTAGTATTAGACAGATGTTTAAAAAAGATTAACTATATTATATTTAAAAAAGAACTGTATCTAAAACAAATTTATAGTGAAACATATTCAAAATCCGTTATGAATTTATTCATATTTTTTGTAAACCTTGTAAGTCTTAAAAAAAAAAACTATAAAAATATAAAATGTCATTTTTACAATACATTACCAATATTATCTGTTAGAAAAGTTTTTCGTTTTACAAACATGTTTTGATTTATAATCTTAGTTAATTAATTTTGTTTTAGTCAAATTGCTACGGATAAAAGTTGAAAGCTTTTTATTAGAATTAATATAAATGAAAGATCTTGACTTATGTATCTATTACAAAACATATTTTTGATTTAATGAAACAAATTTCATAAACTTTATACATTGTACGGGTTTTATTTTTGTTGAGAAAATTACAAACTTTAACGACATATTTAATTAAGGTAGATTTTTTTTTTTTTTAAGTCAATTTAGGGCCAAATTTTAAAATAAAAATTTCGCTAAATAGAATTAATAAACGGAAGTTTAATACAAAATATGGTGAATTAAATTTTTTATTTTATAAATAAACATTTTTTAGTCAATGTAAAAACTATAATAGGAATTACTCGAAATATTCAGGAAGGAGAACTTTCCAAAGAGCCGGTGACTACAAGGGAATGTGTAAATAATTTCATTAAATACTTGAAAAATATTCGATTTATTTTATTCAAATAGAAAAACACGTAACACTCTATTACTAAAAATTTTTATTTAATATTTTATATACTTAAGGAACATCATAAGTTCCGTGTAAAACCATAATTACAGAACATCACAGTTCATTGTTACGTCATAATTACGGAACATCACAGTTCCGTGTAGCATCATAATTAGGGAACATCACAGTTCCGCGTTATTTATTAACGAATATATTTTCAATAAAATTGTAGTTTAATTTTATAAAAGAATTGTTTTAAAATTAAATTTAAAAAAATTAATTTCAAAAATAGTTTAGAGAGCCAGTTAAAACTTTTGACCAAACTGAAATGAATGAATAAAACTCGTAAAACCAGCTAGCGAATAGGATGGCTCAAAAACATGTGCAAACAGCGAAGAACATCAAAAAGAAATTAGTAAGAAAAATACACTTTTTAAATTCAAAACTTGTTATTAAAGTTAACATAGTTATCAAAATAATACATCGAACTAAACTAAAATGGTAAAAAACTAAAAAAATAGAACTATCGTCACCAAATTATTAAACTATAAAGATGAACACTGAATAATGGAAAATTGTTTGAAGTTAAAACTCTAGACATTCGGTTAGTGATAGTGATAGAACAAAATGAAGTATGAGATAAGTTTTTTATAGAAGACAAAGGGAAATATGAGAAAAGTCGTTAATAGAAAACAAAGAACTACTAACGAAATATAAATACCCAAAAGCGGTTTATAATAATCTCATAACGCAGGGTTTTCAAAAATAGGAACTTTTTTTTTTTTAGGTACTATCAAAACATTAGGTACTATTAAAACTGATTTAGTTTTACCGAATAATTTTCAATTGACTTGTTTAACTTTTTTTCAAACAAACAACCAATTTATTGATGAGAGATCTTACCCAGATCTGCGTGAGATCTCTCATAAATTAGAGTAAAGCATCTGATCTTATCCTAATGAAATAAAGAAATTCTTAGAGTGGGACTGTTTGAAAGCTTTACATGATATATAGGAAAGTTAAAAAAAGATTTTGAAAATATTTCTTTAAGTATAAAAGATATTTTACTTTGAAAACCCTTTATTATGAAAAACATTTTACCTTAATTTGTGTAATCGTAACACAAATCTGATCAAGTGAATTCTTATTTGAATATCCATTTGCCTGATTTTAAAATATCCATTTGCCTGATTTTAAAATATCCATTTGCCTGATTTTAAAATATCCATTTGCCTGATTTTAAAATATCCATTTGCCTGATTTTAAAATATCCATTTGCCTGATTTTAAAATATTCATTTGTCTGATTTTAAAATATCCAACAGCCTGATTTTAAAATAATATTTTTGGCGCATAAAGCTAATGAGTGTACTTATTTACATACAAGAAATTTTTTTAATTATTACGAGGTTTGATATAAATATTTCTTATGACGGTAAAGTAACTTTTAAGTTAATGCTATCGCCCACCTTTTGTCTCTTTCTATCGCCCATCTTCCAGCGTAATTGAGAGTTTTAACACGTATTTAGATGCAATTATTAAAAAAATAGCTAACCACGAAAACTATAAAAAACTAACCAGGAAAACTATTTAAACTACATAATTAGCAATTAACTTTTAAACTGTTTCAAATACCATGCGTCAAGTACAACTTAAACGTTTTTTTATAAAAGTTTATTCAAAAATACAGCGTTTTACATGATAAATAAACCAATTAGATCACTAAAATGAATCGGTTACGCTAATCTAAATCAAACCACTATAAAAGGCATCTAAAATGAATCACTTTATAACGCATCCGAAGCAAATTAATTTAAAATGCATCTAAAACAAA